TGAGTGTTTTTTCTGAGTGTTCGATCTTTGTATTAATAATTATAACATTGAAAAGATTAACAATTAATTAATTGTTAATTGCGGTTCTCGCAACTAACAATTGATCAATCGTTAATTGTTGTTTCGCAATTGACAATTAATTAATTGTCAATCTTTAATTGCCAGAACAATTAAATTTTCCCCAACACTGGTCCAAAATTATACCCACGGTCTTTTCAGAATTTTAGAATTTGGAAATTATGCGACTGTACTTTTTAGAACATTTTGGTTCAAGAGGTTGAGTTGTATTATCTGTGGAAGAATAGCTGGCGATCTGGATTCGCTCTGGACCTTTTGGAGGGAAAAGTGTCGTTTTTATTTTGACTTTGTGAAATCTAGTTTAAAGTGGAATAGGATAGTGCTATTGTGCCTTAATCGAAGATTAAAACGTGAAATTATACGATTCTCGAACTAAAATACCCGTATCGGCCCGTTTTAAGGAATCCCGAGTCAATCTAAGCACGCCGCCTCAAATTGCCTATCCTCTTTGTGGCGGCCATATTTACAGAAACATAATTAAACTTCATGTTTAGGCTGTTGGCTTTGCCAAAGCCTTAATAAATTTAAAAAAAAAGCTGGCGATCTGTTTAAAAAAAAAACAAAAAGCCCGCCATTTGCAAAATCAGTAAATGTTGTGTTGTGTTGTGAAGCTAAATTTATCATAGGTACGGACAACGGCACATCAGACTACACATTTGTTCGAAAATCGCCTCCAGAACAACGGAACAAGATACGTCAATGGGTAGCATGTGCTGGCGTGTGTATGTACAAGAACTAAATTAATTTATCATTGCATTTACTTCCTCACAAATGTGATGACAAACATTGTATGTGGCACGGGCGGTAAAAATTACAATCCCCGAGTCATTAAAGCTTTCAGCCTTCGCGGCTTCGGGTTTCCAACGTACTCTTTTTAATAATTTCTTATTTACCGCCCCTTACACACAATGTATGTACAATTCATTCATTCATTGTTGGTTGATGAACAGATGACATCATAATATAGTCAGACAATAGACGTGTAGAAAAATACTGCATTCTGTGTGTAGGGAAGCAGATAACACGAGTCAAAGTTGTAATAGAAAAAATATTTACAACGATATGTATGTACTAGCGTAACTTACAATCTTAAACATGAACAAAAAATTGCATGGAAATTTGCCAACCAATGATAATTATATACCTACTTGAATAAAAGTGTGCCAACAGATAAGTAATTGTTTTATAGTCAGAGAATAAATGTTATAGTTTCCAAATGCCAAATTGTCTAGTTCAAGGTCAATTAAGAAACTATCTTCAAATTATAGTTTATAGACAATAGACACATTTTTGTTTTACTCCTATGTTGATTATACCCTAAACTAATCGTTATCTATTATCATCAATGAAAAAAATCAAGTTGTTCCGAACACAAAAAGCATTTCCTCTTATGAGTGTCAATTCGTGTTTTTGATTCTCGGACTATCGTTCATTGAATCCTGGACTGCACGTAGTTCAAATCACGAAATTTGTATGCAGTTGATCGTGTCTGCTCGAACTGCAGATATGCTAGGAATGGGCGTTACAAATCGTATATAGTTATTGAATCTATAACATTGGGGCAATATCGAATATCCTATATCCTGTATCTTAGAAACAAATCAAGATGCCGAATCAAGCCGAGCGATTACCGAGTGGATACCAACACGAAATTGTATATTCTCCAAACTGTATACCGATATTGCTTCGTATCAAATATTCACTGAGTGGATATCAACGCCAAAACCATTTTTTGTGCGTCTTCGAAACTGTATACTAATATTGGCCCGAATTGCTCTTGTAAAACTATATCCAATAATATATACTTTCGAAATCTGATTCCGAATATCAGTAACGGCAATGTATCAACGTAGCGCGCACGCGGGCTGTATCCATGAATATAAATAGGTAGTTTCGAAATCCGATTTCAAATATCAATATATAGTTTCGATACGACATTCAGAAAAAGCTATATTTGCCATCCCTAAGATATGCAGTCCATCCGTTAGCGTAGTGGAGCTTGAGACCACAGAACACTACACCTACTCACAACAAGACGTACGATTCCTCGAATCCTCGTAGTTTTACTTCTGTGAATCGTTTTACGCATAATATGTAACAACGATAAAATGATTCTACTAAAACGATTAGAGGTGGGCGTTTAAACGAAAAGCACTTAAAAAAGTCTGCTTTTTAAAATAAGCGCATAAGCACGCTTTTCATTTTAAGCGTAAGCGTTGGTCACTGGTCAGTCTATGTGCTTAAACGTTTTTCTAAACGACTTTTTAAGCGTCAAACTAAAAAGCGTTTAGGTGAAAAGCGCTTTTACAAGCACGCTTTTTAAACGTACGTTTTAACGTTAAAAAAATAAGCAGTTTTTCCCATTTCAACGGTTAACAACTACAAAAGTTAAACGACTTATATTTTTGAACGCTTTTAAACGGTAATGAACATAATGTTAATATAATAATGTTATGTCATAAAATATAACTCGTTTTTTTTTCAAAAAAAACTTATCTTAAAACCTTTAGTGGTATGCTCTTGAGGTTCGCTATCAACACAAGTTGCAAGCTTTTTTTAACGTAAAAGTCTATGCGCTTAAACGTTTTCTAAACGAGTTTGGTAGCTTCAAACTAAAAAGCGTTTACCATAACTCTACTCAATGCTCAAGTCAGGACTTGAGCAGACTTGAGTATGATTTCATGCACTGGAAATACGACCCTAATGGCCAGGTAACTTGAGTATGTTTTCTATTGCTTTAAACTATACTCAAGTCTTGATTTGAGCATTGAGTAGAGTTCTGGAATACGACCACAATACGACCCTAAGTGAAAAAGCGTTTAGAAAGGCACATTTTTAAAAAAAAGCATAACTTTTAAACGTTTAAAAAATAAGCAGTTTTTCCCATCTCTAAAAATGATAACTTCAATGTAAGTTTTGTGAATTGCTTTACTTTTAAAAATCGAAAGTTTAAAAATAGGATTGGTTATAGAATAAAGCTTTCAGCCTTCGCGGCTTTGGGTTTCTAACGTACTCTCGTTAATAATTTCTTATTTACCGCCCCAATTTAATTTTGTACGTCGACGGATTTAACACGTTACGCGTTACACGTTACGTTCATTACAGTATTTAAACAGATTGTTAAAGTAAGTATTATATACATTTTGTTGGTTGTTCAATGCTGAAACGATAGCAGAGAACAAAAATAGCTAAAACGAAACGTAAATGTCAAAATTGTCAACAGCAAACAAGAACGGTGAAGGGACGGACGCTAGATTTGCGTTTGTTGCATTAGCGTTTTTTTTGTATTATATTTATAAAATTTTAACAGTATTCATGTGGGGATCAGAAAATAATCAACTGAAACAGTAATTTAATAATTCTGTACGCGCGCAACTGTGTCTTCTGTCTTTTAAAGAAGTATATACGATGACGAATCTCGATGTAAGTGTAACGTTTTATTTTGACCCATAAGTGCCTTATTTCGAGTGCTAGTGCAACTTGTAGTGTAAATAGATAGCAAGGTGTTAGTATAAATATCTGGGTTTTGTCTTAGCATCATTGCTGACAGCGGAGCCATGTTAGACACGGTTGTAAATAAAACATTTATACATTACTAAGGAGCATGACAGTAATACTGCTTGTTATAGGTTATAAACACTAGCACTGACACTAGCTCAGGATCGTCATCGGACACTAGCAGCAGCGGCAGCTCCACTACAAGTTCGGGGTCTGGTTCCAGCAGCTCTGATTCCGATTCATCGGCGTCTGATCCCGCTGCGCTTGCTGCCATCCCTATCCCAAAGTCCCCCACCAAACCTACTGAGGAACCAAAAAAAAAAGAGGAGCCAAAACCTAGGAGGTCATCAACTAAACTTAAACCATCGTCATCAAGTGATGATGATATCCCTAAAGTTGCTAGCCCTAAACCCTTACCTCCAAGAAGAAGATGCTCGGCTAAACCTAAGAATGCGGCAAGTGTGCTTGCTAAAGGCAAGTCCGTTTCGCGGTCAGCATTTGGTGCCAAAACACCGAAACCGGTTGCTAAAACTTCATCTAAACCAGCTGCTAAGTCTGAGAATGCATTGAAAAAGAAGAGTATATTCTCACCAGATAATAGTTCAGAATCAGAGTCTGATAGTAAATCTTCTAAGAATAGTCCTAAGACATCACCTCGTCCAAAAAGGGGTTCAAGGAAATCAAGTGATGATAAGGATACTTCACCGTCAACTGTTACACCAACTGAAAATGACGATTCAAATTCTAAAGACAATAATGTGAAGAGAAGAAGTGGCAGTCGTGCTTCAGGGCCTCCCCCAAAGAAGGCAGTGGACGATAAAAGTGCTTCATCTTGTACTTCTAGCCAATCATCGGTAGAGTCAGTATCTTCAGACAGTGATAGTGAACCTACTCCTAAGAAGGAACCTCTAAAAACTGGAAAGACTAAGCCACCTTCTGGGTCATCATCCACTACTACTAAGGTATTATATAATTGCTCCCTATGTTTTAAATGTCTTCTTTTCAGATATTCTGGTATGTTTTTCAATTTAAGAGTAGGTGCTAAGTTGCGTGAGTTTGACAATAATAACTGTAAGTGTAGTTGACAAGTTTTGGCACTGGACAGGAATGACAGATTGAAGGTTGACCTGAGTTCATTGTGACTTGAATAAACCCGTGTTCAACCACACGAGTAGACAGTAGATTCTGCCATGAAGTGGACCTGACTCCACTGTTCTTGTCTAATAATGCCCTTTAATAATAATAATAATAAGTCAGTTCTTTAATACCTGTTATAGACCTGTGTCTTTGCTCTGAATTGTGAATAGCGGTGATCACAATGAATCAAATACTGGTTGCAGTGATGTAGGCCTGAAGAGGCTTTGAACAAAGCCAGCTAATAATAATATTAGTTGCAATAGAGCTCCTTGTGAAAGAGTTTGTCCAGGGAAGTACTGCCACCTTACCTATTTCTGCTGCCAAGCAGTAATGTGAGCATTACTGCATTCCGGTTTAGAAGGGTTGGGGTGCTGGTGATATTACAGGCACATGAGACTTTTCAACTTAAGTCTCAGTGTGACGGGTGCAGTGGCAGTGCCTCTCACATCTCTGAGATTTAAAGCTCTGCAACTGTTATGGACTGGCGTGTCCATCAGGTGCACAACTTGTCCGTCCTGCCACTTACTAACATAAAGAAAAATATACTAAGTAAAATAATAATAACATTGCAACAAGTAACATTATGTTTCTGGCTTTCTTCCGTCATTTACAAAAAGTATTTTTTAAATTAACTATAACATCTTTCTTATCTGCAGGAAACAACAGGCAAAAGCGGAGATTCGGGCGATTCAGGGACAATGCCTCGCAAGTTGACTCGATCTTTATCGGCGCGCGTGTCGCGACTTGCCACAATCTCGCGTCCCACAAATACTGATACAGACTCCGATGCCGATGATAAAACTGATAAAAGGTTTGTTGCTGCTGGTTTACTTTTTACAAGTTGTATTAAGGTTGTCGTAAAGACATGACTTTCCCAGGTTAACTTTTCCCTCTATGACAATCACATGCTCATGAATTGCCCATAATGTTTAAAACACAAAATAAACATGCATATTCATATTCTAGACTTGCAAAATAACTCGTACCAATACGAGTTTTTGTTTCAAATCAGAATGTTATGTTATAAAATGTGTAACATACTATATGTAAGTGGCTCAATTACCACTGACATTTAGGTAATAGTTCTCCTAGGAGGAACAGAGATCGTTTAAAATGATTTACAGGAATTATGACCGGAAGAGTTCAGTGATAAATACTCAATAGAATATGGTCCATAATTAACATTCCAGATCGTCATCTACCAGTGTGTCGAGTAAAGACACCAAGAAGAGTATAAAGGCGCGGGCGTTACCCTGTTCACCGATTGAACTTACTCCACCTGAACCATCAGAGAGACGATGCCCAGTAAGAGGCTGCGACTCTAGTGGACACCTTGGTATGTATGGATACATTATTTTATATTTACATGAATACAAACAAATTATTGTCAGCCCTATAACTCCTAAAAATTTGCATCACATGTAGTCGATTGTTATGTGCTTAGATATGTCCACTTCATTTTTTATTTTTATCTTTAATTCAGACAACAGGGTCCATAAATTGGTTAATAAAAGTTTTCTTAGTAGCTATGTTAGTAAAAAGAAAAAAAAACATGAACAGGAATAATACTAAATACTAATATTTAATGGTGTTTGTCAGTAAATTCTTTTTTTCACAAATACCTTTAATGCATAAGTTCTAAGCTCTTTTTCAAATTACCTGTACCATTATCTTGGAGAAAAAATTGTGAACCATCAAGGTTTGGTTAGTAATAAAAGCTCCGAATAGGATATTAAAATGAGCTTATTCAAAATATAAATATTGCTGCGTTGTTTACTAAGCTACCAAAAACTTTTGTCCAAATGAAAATACGGAAATAACCGAATGCAATACTGAAGGTTCCGAAACATCTTGCTAACGTAATATCACTCTACCAGTTTAATTAAAATATAAAGTAGATAAATTATATAACACATATAAACAAATTATACTGAAAAGTATTGTTAGCCCTTTTTGACATGAATCACCTATTATAAATTTAAAAGTGACCTTATATCTACATTTCATAAACTTTGGTGCTTGTTAAACTATTCCATTATAAGGATATACTATTATGAATGACAACATAGGAACACCTAAGAAATTTCGTAAAAAACGGTTCCTACTGTCTGTTAAAAATTAGTCTGTTAATTATTAGTATTTCTTTCGAAAGTTTTATTTTATTTGGAAGTACTTTTTTCATAGAATTGTAATTTGAACAAGCTCTTGATTGATTGCTGCAATTATTAATTTTGTTGGTATATTCTGTGTTTATTTTTCAGTTATTTTAATGCCTCAGTTCGCTGCATTTTTTCTTTTCTTCGAAATCTTTATTATTTCCCTAAAGTTGTTACATAGACCGATAGATTGGTGTGATACTGTAAACGTGCGCAATGTCACTAATGATAGTGTATTTATGTACAATTAATTGTACCGGTAGGTGGTAAAGCCGAGCGTCACTTCACCTGGGATGCATGTCCTTTGTACCATAACGTGACACCGGCATGGTGCGTGGCCGCGGGCGAGGAGCGTGCAGCCGCCGCAACAGCTAGGCGCAAGGCCCTTCTGGCCATGCAGCAGCGGCCGAGGGCCATGCCTACCATTGAACAGAGGGCTTATCAACTTAAAGTTAAGGTATGTTCAAAGACTTATGTAGAATTCTTGCTCCGGCCTCATGCTGGTCTGTCACGCCTCAGATTCGTTTCCCGGTCCGGGAGAAATATTTGTATTGTAATTTTCTGGCAGTCTATGTGTCCATGGCACCCGCGACACAGGGTTTCCCTAGTGCATGGCTGTGAGTGAGTGCGTTATTGACATATTATTCATAGAATATGTACAGTATTGACTTCAACTATACAGAACAGAGCATGAGCAAGAAAATAATTAAAAAGTTCATTCCATCGCACATGACAACTAATGTAGTATTACCTCAAAAATTGTGTTATTAGGGGTTAAAGTATGAAATTGCCGTTTTATTGCAATAGGTTC